TCCATATTAACAAATGGATCAGTATTAGTTACTGGTGGATTCAACAGCAATGGTACTCTCAATAGTGCTGAATTGTACGATCTATCTACAGGTTCTTGGACGACTGCAGGAAACATGAGTGTCGCACGAATATATCACACAGCATCCACGTTAGCAAATGGACAAGTATTAGTTACTGGTGGATACAACGGTAGTACTTATCTCAATAGTGCTGAGTTTTATTAATCGATATACAAAAAATGACATTTTCTTTTGTGAACTAAATCATAATTTTTCAAATGTAATCAAACCATTTAATCATTCACATTTCTTAATAAATTATCATTCACTAAATAATATGAATTGCAGTAATATCTCGAATTTATATTGTATGGCAGTTGTTGATAAAAGATAAATCCTTATTTGTACAACTGAATAGATATAAATACAAATGTGAAGAATATTAATCATTCGTTACTCCCAACGAATTTATTGACTACTGTCGAAAGGAAAAATATCAAAAAGTTTAAAAACGATAAAAATAAGACCTTAGTAGTATCATTATTGTCAGAAATAAACAATAGATAAAACTAGGGTGTGAGTGTAGGTGTGTTCTCTTTCTTTTTGTCTACACCCACATTCAGACACAACCTCACACCCGTAATTTTTGTATCTGCTATCTTTGCTGCTACTTTACTTTGCTTAATAGAACGACAAGATACTGAAATATTGCAAAATAGATCCATATTTTCATTACGTGCAATGGGTATGTGATTTTCTATAAGTATAATCGTTGGATATGGAGTAGATTTTCATGTTAGAACAGCTGCTGGACGCTTATTAACAATGAGCTTGTATATATTAAGTATAGTATTTGTAGCAATATATACTGCAAACTTCACTTCTTATTTACGAGAAATATCTGATGGCATTAAAAATTATTATCCATTAAATTCTCGAGATGAACAATATCAAAGTTCAATAAATGGATTAATTGATGCAGATTTTGATCAAAGTACATCTGGTACACCTACGACTATTGGTATTGATTCATTACTTGGTTTATTTCTTACTTTTGAAATAATTAATATATTAGCGATACTGTTATTTTTATATAATCAGCATATTTCGTAAAAATGCTTCATTGACTCGAAAGAATCTTTTTATCATAAGAAATTCGGGTATTGCAATACAAGTTTAAATATGAAACTGTTATATATCAAAAGACTTCTGTATAATAGATGATAACATTAAATAACAAAAACGAAAAGATCAATATATATTTCTTATGTAGTACGTTATTTTATTTACTTTACATTTATTAACTATTGTCGTACTCAGTGTACGTTAGATATTCTTTTTTTGTATCTAGACAACTCATTTATCATTGTAATTGTTACTGTCATCCATAATAATTTAATACCCTTGGATTACTTTCGACGAGAAAAAAGAAAAGACTATGTCTTACGTATCGAAAAATACACTTTATACTCTGTCACCTTTACACGTGTCGTGATAGAAATAATATAATTACAATGATTAGCTTGACTATATATTCGTAATCGAATTTCAATTTTCATCCATA